ACAACTAGAAGGAAAGAGAAAGTGGGTTTCTGGAAAGTGATAACATACAAAACTACACACTGGGCAAATCTGTGACCACACGGTGTATATTTAAGCAACTGTAATCTGCTTTTAAGTGACAGTTTTGAAGAAGAAAGAAAAAAGTCAGAAACCATCATCCAAATGGTCTTATATGCAAAAGAAAAGTTGGAGGTTTCATGTGAGTTTTTCTAGTACATGATGTAGATGCATTGGACATTTTCAGTCAATTCTATTAGCAATGAATTAAACAACTGAAGAATGGTGTTTCTATGGAGTGATTGAATTAACCACAGTTGCTTAGTTTATTTTAAAAAAGAAATTTAATTTCTGAGAAGTTGCTCTACAGAGGACAGTGACCAGGTCACCCCCCCCCCCCCACTGAGGACAAAACAAGAAAAAAATGGGTTTGTTTCAACAGAAGGGAAATTACTTATAGACAAGGTCCTTCACATATGGATTGAATGTGACTGATGTGGATCATTAAGATGTTTTCTCGACAGTCGTTTGTGGCGCACGCCTTTAATCCCAGCACTCGGGAGGCAGAGGCAGGCGGATTTCTGTGAGTTCAAGACCAGCCTGGTCTACAAGAGCTAGTTCCAGGACAAGCTCCAAAACCAAAGAGAAACCTTGTCTCGAAAAAACAAAACAAACAAACAAAACAAACAAACAAACAAACAAAAAAGATGTTTTCTCTGGCTCCCTAGCTGTGTGCAGTATTCTGTGTCTTTAAATAGCCAGATTTCAAAACAGTGATATGGCTAATAATTATTAAGCTTGAATGAACTATAATTAGAATCCCTAATTTTTTAGGGGTCCCTGGGGGAGATGGCTCAGTGTTTAAGAGCACCTACTGTTCGTCCAGAGCACCTGACTACAGTTCCCAGCACCCGTATCAGGCAGTTCTCATATGTCTTTAACTCCAGCTCCAGGGAATCTGACACCTTCTTCTGGCCTCGAAAGATACCTGAATATATGTGGCATACGCACAAACACACATACACCTAAAAATAACTTTTTAAAAAAAAAAATTAGGTGCCCATTAATTATTCATTTTTCTATCTACCTAACTAAAGCCTTACTATTGTATTTTAACATGCAAAAATTATCTTTTGTCATTTATTATTTATATATTTTTTAAAGAGATGAACAGAGGGGCTCAAGAGATGGCTCAGCAGTTAAGGGAAATGGCCACTATTCCAAAGGGCCTGAGTTAACTCTCAATAAACACATGGCAACTCATAACTGTCTGTAACTCCAGTTCTAGGGGCTCTGACACTCTCTCACAGACATATATGCAGGCAATACACCAATGCATATTAGATAAATAAATAAATAAATAAATAAATAAATAGATGAATAAATCTGTGTGTGTGTGTGTGTGAGAGAGAGAGAGAGAGAGAGAGAGAGAGAGAGAGAGAGAGAATTTTCCATAGAAGTAGGTGTTGTTCTACCAAGGATATTTTATATTCATGTACCATTTCTGAATGTTATTAAAGATTAGGAAGATAGAATTCATTTAATTTCAGTTATTAATCTTTGTGCATACCAATTGCTGGCCAGGTGACTGCAATTAAAGCTACTATGTATGTTGTTTATTAGCTGGCAGCTCTTGGTTATTGAAATGATTTTTATTTTCATTGGTATTCACTAAGTCAGATTACTAAAATAATACAATTTTTTAGCTTTCCAAAATAGTTCTATTTTATAAATTTACTATTTTGTTTTTAGTGTTTGGAAAAACATACAAAATAGGCAATTTTCGAGTAGCCTCTCCCTACCTTTGGCAGCTTATGAAAAGAAGTCAGGTGTCTATCCTGTGTCCTTTCTCAGTGAGACTTGAAGAAGGAATAAAGCTGAAACAAAGACGAAGGTGCCAAAAGGCACTTTGCTTCTGGCTACACCAGTCTTTGAAATACTTACAATATACTTGCCTCTGCGATTTAGGCAAGCTGTAACTTGACTACCTCCTTGTTTAGATATTTGACATTAATATAAAATTTTAACATGATTTGAAGTAACCAGATATCAAATAGAAATCAATTTTATCTCTTAATAAACTACCACAACTACTTTCAAAGTGATTTTGTACATATTCTGATTAGATTACCTTTGCTCTACCCTCAAGAGATGAATATATCCAGCTTGTCTACTCACAACAGCAAATTATTGGATAAATGCCATTAATTAGTAAGACTGATGAAAGGTTTTTAGTTGCCTTCTGAACTGAAAACGAATAGTATTGCATGGACTGAGACAAAAAGAGTATGATACAGAGTAAGCATTAGTGTGGACACAATATAATACATTATATTTTAATATTATTTAGTTTCAAAGGATTGATCTAAAGGTTATGTATAGAGGAAAGGATTAAAAGACCATACGGCATTTAAAAAAAAAGACTCTGTGTGTGAGGGTTTTCTCTAAAATAAATATTGCTATATAGAATAAAGACCTATTCTCCCATCTAACTTGAGATACTGCTCAGATTGTCAAGGTCAGTGCTTTACCCTGTTTGCCCAGGCTTTGAAGGGGATGTTATGGTTCTAAAATTCACAAGCATATTTTTCCAAGACGCATATTTATTTAATTAGAAATAATAACATATTTGCTTAACTGAGATGTTATCCTGAATTTGTTTTTGTAGATTCAACCATTGACCATGGTAAATTGCATAATAGAATTATATTGTTTGTGGCACTGAGAGTGAATAAATATGAAAGCTCTTTTCAGTACTTGAAAATGGTTCAGTGATTAAAGTGCTTGGTGATCACATACAAGATCTGAATTTGGATTCTTAGGAAGCACATTAAACAAAAAAACTATTAAAAATAAAAAGCCATAGTAGAGCATGTCTAAATTCTTTTGAGTGGAGACAGGCACAAACTTAGGGATCGCTGGCTAGCTAGTCTAGCTGGAATAGCAAGCTTCACATTCAGTGAGAGACGCTGCCTCAAAAAGCAAGATGGAGAATAATAGAAGATACTACCAGATATTGACTTATGTCCTCAATGCCTACACACACAGGCGAACAAATCCTCACACATGTGCACACACATGCAAACAACACAGAAATAGCCACATACTGTTACACACATAAATGTGTAAATTCAGCAGTTTAAGAATGCTAAATAAAGCTGAAGTTTTTACTGTAAAATAATGTAAAGCCGAGATAAAGAAAAGAAAATGCATAAAATTGCCATATGACTGACAAAGGAAAGGAAATGCATAAAATTGGCATATGACTCCAATACCATTTTTCTGTTTATTTTGCACCATTACCTATGTACAATTTTAACAGCTGTAAAATACATGTGCAATTTTGTATCTTGAACAGTGTGCAAGTTTGTTGTTCATTTTCTCTTCTTTGTTTGTATGTCTTTGTCGCCATAGACTTTGGAAAAAGTCAGTTTTCTTACTGTTGAGAAGTGGGGGAGGGGAGATTTTTTTCTGAAATTTATCTTGGCACTTATTTTGGGGGGAGGGAATCTCGGATGTTAAGTTGTAAGGGATTTTTTTTAAATTTCCCACATACTGTAAAAATGATGTACTTTGTGAGCACATAACACAGTAACCCCAGCAAAAGAGTTGTCTTTGAGGACCAGAGCCTGTAATTGATTCTTGTATAGCTGCTAGCCATACTTAAGATAAACTGCCTTGAGGTTCCTGTTGCTTTTTGTTCTTACAGCTTGTCCTTGGATTGTCAGATTCAACCTTGTAGTACTAAAAGCTTTTTGGTGAATGAGCATGAGTACAGCATTTTAAATATTTTCCATATATGAAATACTATTTTTTGTAGAATTTCTCAAAGAAATAATGATGAACCCTGGAACATTATGCCTCCTGTGGCCATTTGTTTATGGAATCTTGAGGCTAATCTTCTCTATAATATGTTCACTTCATGAGGATATAAATAGTTGATAAAAGGTTTAGCATAAAACAGATTTGATATAAGCCTAATATAATAATATTATGATTATTTTTGTTTTTAGTTATTAAAACAACAAAGACTAATTCATTTTGTAATTACTCAAGTATCCTCTGCAGTCATTCCCCAAACTGTTTGTGAAGACAATGTATTTATTCTAAACAGAATAATCCTTAAAACTAAAAACCCCTAATCTGTATAAAAACCAGTGGATAAACCCATCATCTAAAGTTTATAGAATTAAAACATCCAATAAACTGAGAAAAATATGATATATTGCCTTGTATTTATGAATTGTTTCTAAGTAAATCCTTGATTTCATTTGCAGCTGTGTCTAGTATAAGAAATCTAAATAAGAAAATATTAGAGACTCCGAATTTTTTTTCTGTTCTACCCTTTAAAGATTTTTATCATTCTATTGATGACATTTTTTCTAGTATCTCTAAAAAGTGTACAATGTTAAGCAAATATATAATAAATAATTGCATGTTTCCATGACTGTGTATTCTTATTTTGGTTCATAATTCTGAATGAAACAACTTTGTATTTTTTTTCTTATGGTCCATGCAAGAAAAGATATATAAAGCATGCTGACTCTTTATGTGAATTTGCATCGATGATAGCTGGAAATAAATTTAATCTCACAAATGCATGCATCTTTCAAGAATATATTTTTATAATAATACAAAGACCAGAGTGTTGTTAGCATCAACACACATTAAATGAGGCTATTACTATAAATACTTAAATGAGTGTTTGTGTCTCATAAAAAGAGTAGTTCATTTTGCCATAATGATTCAGACATCTTTTGAAAATATAGATTAAGGCTTAATTTGCTACTTGAATTAGTGTTTTTCTCCTTTATAAAATACCAAGTTCATTTTCAGATCATGAATTATGTCACTAGATGCCATTAAAGAAGCAACTGCCAATTTAATTTAAAAAAAAAGTTCAAGTGAACCTCAACATGATCTATATTCACTCATTGTTTTTTGACTTGTTTAGAAAAATAATCTATTTATCTCACAAAAAAATGCTATTTTTTTCCTTCCAGATCAGAGATACAAAGTCAGCAGATCAAAAAACAACCCTTTTGCATTTTCTTGCTGAAATATGTGAGGAAAAATACCGAGATATCCTGAAATTTCCTGATGAGCTGGAACATGTGGAAAGTGCAAGCAAAGGTAATCGATTAAGACTATTCTTAGCCTATGTGTTTTAGTTTAAATGAGAAGATTTAAAAGGAAGCTGTGAGCAATATTAATCATAAAAGTTCTTTGTTGATGTAAGAAAAGTGGGATGATAGTTTTGGTTGACTTATATTTGAGCCCACTGTACTTTTAAATTACCCGTCTTCATTTTTAAACAGTGTGAGGTTATTAAACCTTTCAGACCTCAAATCAAACCATTCATTCTATTCTTTAAGTTGATAAGAACTTAAATGTATGCTGTAAAGGAATCATACTTTTTTGATTTCAAGATGATTCTAAGACATTGTTCTTTGAGAATGTTTTAAAGATAATGTTCTGTAGTTTAGCTAAAGAGAAAGGACTTTGGAATGGCTAAAATACGAGGCTGAAGTTTTGCCAGCATGGCATAGGGCTTTCTTTCCACAGATAACTCAGTAGGTGCCAGGTGTACTTGTATAATCTTTTTACGGCAGAAGTGAGGAAGAGTTGATGATGAGGCCATAGGAATAAGGTAGACACCTTAGAAATATCCAAGGCAGACTCATGTCTTACATCATAGCATACTGAATTGAGGAATGAAAGCACAAGTGGAGCAGAAAGTTTGTAAGATTTTAAGGCATGGTAAGTAGCTTTGTCAACATTGTCTACATTAACAAGTGATTAAGAAGTACAAGGGGGATGGATCAAGGAAATATTTGTCTCGACGTGATATAATATGGGTGAAAATTTAGTTTTTTTTTCTTTTGGATAAGAGAAAGATATAATGTAATGATTATATTCTGTAACTTTTGAGGCTTAAAGGAAGGACACAAAACCATGTTTCCCAAACTTACTACAAACTAAATAATCTTATTAGTGTGCTTTGAAGGGAGAGTCTGTAAAGCCCAGAATATCACTTGTAAATATTATTCTACAGTTTTTGCTGCTATAGGATTGTTAGATCCTTGTCTTATTTTTATTTTTTTGTGTGTCCTGTGCTGTGGATGAAGATTAATTATTGAAGATACATCATGATTTCATACTATTATGTATTTTTACTCTATATTAAAATTGTATAATATAATAGAAAGTTATATTAGTAAGTATGTTGTAGCTTTTTTGAATTCCTTGTGTTTAATGTATACCTTTAACTTAGAGGCATTATTGAACTTCAAACAACATGTATCAGTAGCATATTATCATAATTGAAATATATAAAGCACCACAAATAAAACCAGTTCAAATATTAGCTAAAAATTGCTGTTATTATTTTACCTGTCCTCTATCAGAATATTCGTCATTACATTTTTTAATAAATAGAACCAGTTCTAAAAGAAAATACATAAATTTAGTTTAAAATAAAATGTCCTGTCAATTTTATGGTGGTTATTTTCAATTCCTATATTTAGGATACCTTTTGTGACCATATCTAAACTACTTATCTTGAGTTGAACTAAACAGAACTGAGTTTAATTCTAAATAACTTTATTAATAGGACACACATACAGAAAGACATATTGCTTACTGTGTTTTATTTCACTACAATAGAATACCACATATTTGGGTAATTAGCAATGAAAATAGATTTACTTCTCACAGTTGATAGGTTTGGAAGTTCATGATCAAGGGAATTTGTATATAACATTTTCCCATTATTCAGTATTTTCTGGTGATGTCAAAGAAATATTAGAATATATACTCATGTTTACACAAAATAATCACCTAATAATACAATTCTAATATAGAACATGTGACTGTATTTTATAAAATGCTTATATGTTTTAAATTGCTTCCAAAACATTAATAACAAATATTTAGGGTCATTGTTACAACTGATAAAGGCAGACACCAGATCAAGACTGTTTAAGTTATTGTAAATTTCAAATTCTAATTGTATCGTTTATATTTTCAAAGAATTAAGGGAGTGATTTTTCTTTATCCTCATCTAGAAAATGATGTTGAATTCAAGAAGTCCTTGTTTTTTACTGATGAGTAGTACTCTAATATGTATATATTCCATACTTTTTTCATCCATTCTTCCATTGAAGAGCATCAAGGTTGTTTACAGATTCTGGCTATTACAAACAATGCTGCTATGAACATAGTTGAGCATATACTTTTGTTGTATGATAGGGCATCTCTTGGGTATATTCCCAAGAGTGGTATTGCTGGGTCCGGGGGTAGGTTGATCCCGAATTTTCTGAGAAACCGCCACATTGCTTTCCAAAGTGGTTGCACTGGTTTGCAATGGATGAGGGTACCCCTTACTCCACAACCTCTCCAGCAAAGGCTATCATTGGTGTATTTTATTTTAGCAATTCTCAGGTGTAAGATGGTGTCTTAAAGTTGTGTTGATTTGCATTTCCCTGATCGCTAAGGAAGTTGATCATGACCTTAAGTGTCTTTTGGGCATTTGAACTTCTTCTGTTGAGAATTCTCTGTTCAGCTCAGTGCCCCATTTTATAGTTGGGTTGATTAGCCTTTTACGGTCTAGTTTCTTGAGTTCTTTATATATTTTGGAGATCAGACCTTTGTCATTTGCGGGGTTGGTGAAGATCTTCTCCCAGTCAGTGGGTTGCCTTTTTGTCTTAGTGACAGTATACAAATGGATGGAAATAGAAAACACTATCCTGAGTGAGGTAAGCCAGACCCAAAAAGAGGAACATGGGATGTATTCACTCATGTTTGGTTTCTAGCCATAAATAAAGGACATTGAGCCTATAATTTGTGATCCTAGCGAAGCTAAATAAGGAGAACCCAAAGAAAAACATATAGGCATCCTCCTGAATATTAACCTTCATCAGGTGATGAAAGGAGACATAGACAGAGACCCACATTGGAGCACCAGACAGAAATCTCAAGGTCCAATTCAGGAGCAGATGGAGAGAGAGCACGAGTAAGGAACTCAGGACCGCGAGGGGTGCATCCACACACTTAGACAATGGGGATGTTCTATTGGGAACTCACCAAGGTCAGCTGACCTGGGTCTGAAAAAGCCTGGGTTAAAACTGGACTCCCTGAACATAGCGGACAATGAGGACTACTCAAGAACAATGGCAATGGGTTTTTGATCCTACTGCACGTACTGGTTTTGTGGGAGCCTAGGCAGTTTGGATGCTCATCTTACTAGACCTGGATGGAGGTGGGTGGTCCTTGGACTTCCCACAGGGCAGGGAACCCTGATTGCTCTTTTGGCTGAAGAGGGAAGGGGACTTGATTGGGGGAGGGGGAGGGAAATGGGAGGCGGTGGCGGGGAAGAGACAGAAATGTTTACTAAATAAATAAATAATAAATAAATAAAAAAGAAAGAAAATGATGTTGAATTTCAGTAGCAGTACGATTAAATAAGTGAACTAACATATGCAAAGCATAATATAAGATCCTTGCTACTTAGAAAGTACACACCTCTTATATACTATCATTATTACTGATAGTAATAATAGTATCAAAATTTGATCCACCAGTAAGGCCATTGCAATGTTTTGACTGTTAGAAGAGAATAATCTTAAATATGTCTTCTAGCTCCTCAAGTTTCATCTAAGCTTGCATTTTATTCAGCTTTGTTTCTTTCGTATGTCTTGAGCTTTTTGACGAATCCTTTCATTTCTTTCTTTAACAGTTCCATGACTTTCTTTCCCCCTGTCTATTTCAACAGCCAAATTTATCCATTGTCTTCTGATTACTTGCTTTGTGTATTGAACCAGCCAGTGTTTTCACAAGACTGTTGCCAAATAACTCTTTTCCTATCTCACTGTTTGGGCTGCAGCAATCTTCCCTCTCCACTTGTTTTTGACTAGCTCTTTTTCTTTCTCTGTTAAATTCAGAGTTTTCAACTCAAAAACTTCTTAATCACACCCTGCCTGCTTGCAGCCCACTTTCATTTCCTCCTAGTTCTTTCAGTATACCAACAAATATATTCTCTTGAGCCATTTTTATTCCTTTATAATAATCTTGTCTCTGTGTACAATTTCCTGCTGCATCCCATGCCTGAAAGTCTCACCTGCCTTGTCCTCTAAGACAACTGACTATCATTTGTCAAAACACTGTTCAAAATCCATTTCCTTTCTTACTAACGTCTTGTTACCAAAGCCTCAGGAGAAAAAACTTTTAAATTTAGTCTCTACAGGAAGAAAAGAAATGGTGAAAGGCCAAGTCATTCTGTGTTATTTATAGTTAAATGCTTTTCCTTAATATTTGAGTCTAATTTGTCTTTGATTTCCTAACATAAATTTTAGGGTCATATGGGTCAAATTCTGTCATCTTCATTACTGTGTTAAATATACTGTATGCATAATATTCACACTCTCCCAGTGGAAATAAAAAATAGATCAACACTATATAATTAATTTATTTTTGAAAATGGATCACCTCCTTGTGAAATGGTTGTCTTCTATTAAAAAACAGAACAAACTTTTAAAATTGGAAGTATAAAAATAATGTAAAACTTGAATTAATGAATGCACTACATTTCACATGTAATGGACAATTGTGGCCATCTTTAGTAAATATTAGAATTCAGGCACTTTATGAAAAAAATGTTTTCTGTTCAGTATGGCAAGCAAAAGGCACATTCTCATTCAGTACTAAAAGCATAGACCTCACCTCAAAATTACAGATAATGGAGGGAAATGTCATCACTTTGAGCCAAAAGAAAAACAAAGAAGTATGTAGAATGTAAAGAAACCTGTATTTGTATAATTATCTTTATTTTTCACAAAGCTAAGATTTAAAATTATGCATTTCTAAGAGAAGCACGCCTTTGGTATCAACTTAGCATATTTTCCTAGAGCTCTGTAACTCAAAGGTATTGAAGAAAACACATCATCTTTACATTAAAACAGATATATATTACTGAGTAGAATGCAAAAGCCACATGAATTTTTAAAATAAAACAGATGACTTCAAAGAAATTTCACAGTTGCAGCAGATCCCTAGGGGTGTATATTCAATCTTCGCTTCCATTAGGGTTACTTTTGTGGGAGACGTTTATGAAACATTGCCTGGAGATTTCGAAA